TGAGTGGTGGTGTGGGGGGGGGGGGGGGGGGGGGGTGTTTATTTGTAGCAAACCCCTTTCCTGCTACTTTATGGTGAGGCTGGTTGTGGGCTCATCTCTCTCAAATTAAAATGTAACTATTCATAAACTTTTAATTACTTGTCACCATGATTTTCTAATTTTAATCTTGTTGATCAATTCCCCAGCTATCTTGAATGCAAGATATTTTAATGTTATAGTACACTAATTCTTATTATAAACTTTACTTTCATGAGCAGGAGGATATTATCGCCAAAATGGATGTATTGAACCCACAGGTATGTATTTTATATGCTTTCAGTACCCTCTAAAACTCTTTACATTATGTTATATTATTTGAATGTTTCAGTGGAAGGGTTATGTTCTTTTTTAAATATTGATTCGTAGGTTGATTTCTATGCAGAGTTGTAGAAGGCTATTGGAAATTATGGTTCTAGATAATCACGTTACCGTGAGGCGAATGCATCAAACTGCCACTCCAGCTCCTCCACCGACAATTTTGCAGAGCCTTTTTCCTTCAAACTTTAAGAGACCAACCTTAAAGCTGAGAAACCATTATTTTGCCAATCCTATGAGCACTAGAATGCTTTAAGTTGCACCTTAAAAGGCCTATTTTAGACGATTTTATCATGTGAAAGATGGCAATAAAATTCACATAAAGCCTTGGTCGGGTATGAACATTTTGCACAGTTTCAATGTCTGGCTATCTGGTTTAACATTTGAAATAATTTTTGCCAATTTGGCAAAGTTAGTGTTGTTTCAAACCTGATGGATCTTATGGAGGGCTGATAATCTCATGTTCTCCCGAACTGCCATTTAAGGGCCTTGGGTTCTATATATTTTTAGGCTTGTTGCTAAGATTGCAGGTCTCAATCAAAATTATTCAATTTTGGTTGGTTTGGATGATCAGAATTTTGAGTTAAGGGGAAAGCAAAAGGTTTGAAACTCACATATCAATGACTGCAAATTCATAACTAAGCAACACCCTAGGAGCAAGATTCTCGACCATAATTTCTTCTGGTTGATTCAACAGGGAGATGGTAGCTACATCTGTTGCATTTCTGAGACAAGTTAGTCATTTTTCTTTTGGTAAATTTACATACCTGGCACACAATTCTTATGTATTTACATATCCACACCTAAACTTTTATATTTACACACATAGCACTTTGGTACTTCAAACTTATTCATGAAAGGTGTTTTTTGCTTTTAAAAAATGGTATTAGTGCTATTTTTTTGTGATATTAGAAATTTGAGTTCTATGTCTGTAAAAATGTAAGTTAAGGTGCGAGATATGTAAATACATAGGAATTGTGTGCTATATATTTATGTAAATTCTCCTTTTTTTCCTCATACTATTTCTTTAAATATAGCTACAATTAACTCTTGTTCTATTTGCCAGTGACTAAATACGATGTATGAAAACTATTAATTTCAAATAATGTCGAGGAAAGTTCCGAGGAATTCATTTTGGGATAACTTGCTTTGACTCGGCTCAAGCCTGCAAGGCATGAGATCTGCACAAGTGGATTTAATGATAGCTGCTGAATTAGGTGAATGATTTTGTGAATTTTTCTCTTTTTATTACATCTTGTTTCAATGATTTAACCTAGCTTTGTTATTGAGTTTATTTTGATTATTTGTTAGGAATTGGAATTTATAGTTATCATTATAGTATTAAGATTTTTCCTCTCGTCAATATATATATATATATATATATATATATATAATAGTATGATAAGACATGCTGAAAATATAAAAGCTAAATATAAAAAAATGGCGGGGTCGTCGGCGGGGGCCTACCCCCCCTCGCGGTTTCGCGACTATGGAGAACCCTGGTTTCCACTTCACTGCATTTCTCTTCGACGCGCTCGTCCTTCTCGTCGTTTTCGTCGCTTTAGTCTTCATCTTTATCCTGAAGCGGCTACTCACGATTCGTCATCTCGAGGTTGAAAGGTCCGTCGGGCTAGGCCTCTGCGGCATCTTGTGCTCGCAGGAAAAGGGCTCGTGTATGGCCTGCATCTTCTTCGTGTGTCATTTTGGCTGTCCTCTGCTTGGCGTTTGCTCCTTCCTGCACGCGCCAGGTGCTCTACAGCGCTAATCCTCCTTAGGCGCTTTTTCCTTCACGCGCCATGTGCTCTGCAGTGCTTGTCTGAAGCAGGATAATGGTCTCAGGGCTTTCCTACGCCGCCGCTCTCGCAGGTGATAATCCCGCCAAACCTGTCGATGCTACAGTGGTTCACATACGCAGCTCCCCTTTCCACCTTGCGGATAGTTCGATGTTCCCGCAGATATACCATCATTCTGTTGTAGGACATGGAGATTGCAATCTCATAAAAAAAGTAGAGAAAAGGCGGGCAAACCAACACTATTCTTCTCTGACTCTGAAATTTTAACTCATGCAGGAAAATACAATTTTTTATTAGTTGGAAAGTTTCAATTAGGTCGCCCTAAGATGGAAATTGTCAGGAAGGTTTTTGAAGATTTCAAACTAGTTGGGGCTTGGCAAGTGGGTCTTTTCGACGGAAGACATGTTATGATACAGCTGAGCATCGAAAAAGATTACACAAGGATTTTCTTAAGGAAATTTATCACAATCGAGCGCAATCATATGAAATTGCTTAAATGGACCCTTGATTTTGATCTTAGTCAAGAACCTCCAATTACGCCTATCTAGTTCTCATTACTTGAACTTAAGCTTCAATTCTTCGATCTACCTATCTTATATGCAATTGGGACTATCCTTGGAAAACCTTTGCAGGTAGACACACCTACAGTTCATTTCTTAAGACCTTCTATTGCAATGATTTTGATCTGATTTTGATCAAAAGGGATATTACACTACCAAATGTAGAAGAAGTCTGGCTTGGCTTTGTTTACAATGGTTATTGGCAGAAAATTATTATGGAACAAAAACCTCACTACTGCAAGCACTACATGATGTTCGGACACCTGTAAGAGAAATGTTTCAGATTGCACTCACAGTTGAGAACAATAGTCAAAAGCAGGAACATGTCGATTTCAGCAAACCTTATGACAGCCAACCTGAGGAGGGAATCACCACAGGCTCTGAGAACCATTCTCAGGAACATACTATAACGGATAATATTCGGACCGAAAGTTAGGATGGCCTCGCAACTCCTATTCAGAAAGCATCAGGTGCAGAGGTTCGGACTGAAAATCAGGATAGCCCCACATCTCCTATTCAGGAAGCACTAGGTGCAGAGTCGACAATTCACACTTCACATATACTGGAACCTATCGTTGTGACAACGACTGTCCTTTCTTCTAATGCAATTCTAATATCTAATCAACCAAGGATCACATGAGTCAGTCTTCAAATGAAGAATGACAGATTTTTACACTTCTCGGCGGAAGGCTGGGGCCACACTCCAACTTGGAAACTTAATGGATGATACTTCGGTTACTTCTGACAATGACACGACACTTCAAAGTTTGTTATCTAGCCCCGCTCTTAAAACTAGAGGAGGAGGCAGGACTAAACTGGCTCGTCTCTAGCTACTTGTTTTCTGCATGTTTTAAATTTCTTGAATCTATATGTATCTTCTTGATGCGGTATTACTGTACTTGGCATCGTATGAGTAGGGTGCCTCTATTAGGCCCTCTCATACAACATTTATGTATCTTTTCTATTTCAAAAAAAACAACCCTAGGAAATATATATATATATACCATCGTTTGAGTCAACTCTGGTATCACTTTATTAAGGCTAAATTCTGTACTTAGAAAACACCTTTTCAAACATCGCTCCCCCACGCGTCCGTGCGCGTCGTTGATTGCGGCGGAGAAGACGCGACTTTGCTGCATCGTCTTCACAGCGTTGTCGACGACTCCACTGACGCTCGCTCGCCCGCACTCGTCTCCTCTGCGATCGTCGTTCCTTCACGCCCAACAACGCAAGACTTTTCCTCCTTAACGCTACTTCGCGCCCTGCGACGAAACCATGGCTTGCTTTTCGATCGACGTGCGCTGCTTCTGCGTCTGTGTCTGTTCTGATCGACGTTTCTTGCTGTAGAAATGGCATCAGGGCGCTCTTACGCCCCGCCCTCGCCAGTGATAACCCCGTCTCCGCCCCTCTTTCGAATATGTTTCTGCAACGATACCACGACAATTTTGCTTTTGGCACTGAAACCGAATTTCTAAAAAAAGCTTCCCCATAAAAACGGCAAACCTGCAATCTTTCTTACTGAGGCAGAGATCTCCACCCTAGCCGCGCCCCTAGCCGCGCTCTGCCAACTGTTCTTAGTTGGTAAGTTTCTTTATGGAAATCCTAAACTTGAGCTAATTCAAAAGAACTTTGAACAAATGAAGCTGAAAGGGGGTTGAAAGAACGATAAATTGGATGGTCGCCACATTCTTATTAAATTATCAAATGATGAAGACTATATCCATTTGTTTGCGAGAAGACTTCTTCGAATAGAAAACCAGGTGATGAAGGTTTTAAAATGGACGGTTGATTTTGACCCTCGTACTGAACCTCCTACCATTCATGTTTGGCTGCGCTTTTCAGATTTGAAGATCCACCTTTTGATCAAGAGCTTCTCTTCGCTTTAGCGATGGTGTACGGTAAATCCCTCAAAACTGACACGCCTACAGTAAATCTAACTCGGCCTTCAGAAGCCAGAATTTTGATAGAAAGGGATATTATTTTACCTTTTCCAGAAGAAATATGGATTGGCACACATTATCAGGGATTTTGGCAGCAAGCAGAACTTGAATAGATACCACTTTATTATACCCGCTGTCGTATGTTTGGACATTCTCATTCTCAATGTTATCAGTTGCATCCAAATTTAAAACCTTCAAGTAAAAACGCTTCTGGATCTGCCCCACCTCATACATGTCCCTCATCCGCTCCTGAGTGTATTCCACGGACTATTGAAACACCGTTTGACACGATGCCACCCCCCCCCCCCCCCCCCCACCCTCCTGCCGCCGACTGATGTATTGGCAGATAGTTTACTTGGGCCCGATAATCAGGATAGTATTGAAGCGTCACATCCCCATGATGCATCAGGTGTTGAAGAGGCATGTTTACCATATCTTCAGAATCATAATGTTGTTACTGCTAGTCAGGAGCCAGGGGCTCATTCTCTCCTACATGCCCAACAATCTATTGAACACACCGATCATATGAGCAGTCCTCGAATGAGGAATGACATGTTTACACATCTAGAAAGAAAAAGAAGAATGAAGGTACACTCCAGCTTGGGAACTTAATAGATGATACTCTAGTAACTTCGGGTAATGGAACAACACTCAGCAATTTGTTAGCTATCTCCGCTCCTAGAACCAGATGCAGAGGCAAGACTAAGCTGGTTCTTGTCTAGCAGCTTATTTCATGCAAGTTTTGTTTTTTTGTGTTTTATCTATGTTTCTTCTTTTTACGATGCTAGTGTCGGATGTATCATGTGGGTAGGGCATTTTTTTTGGGTCCTCTCATACAACCTCTATGTATCTTTTCAATTTCAATAAAATTAGCTATATATATATATATTTGATAGTATGATCAATCTTTGTTGTTTTAAGTTTATTGTTTATATATATATATATATATATATATTCGATAGTATGATCAATCTTTGTTGTTTTAAGTTTATTTTTATTATTTGTTAGGAAAGGTGTTTTCTAGGTATAGAATTTAGCCTTAATAAAGTGATACCAGAGCTGACTCAAACTATGGTAGAAAAAACATATATTATTACCAACAACAAATAAACTGTTACAATCAACATACTAGAAAGGGAAAGTACAACTAATACGAAAAGAACTCATGCTAGGGCTCGACCCATGTGTGCTGGAGGTTAGCTAGGTGGTTGGGGAGTGAAGTTTGATGGTTGAAATGGGGTTGTAGGTGGTTGGGACAACAAGAGGGTCTGGAATCGTGTTGGAAGCGAAGAGGTATGCTGGGACAGCGAGGGCAGCATGTGAGGTGGTGAGCTGAGCGGTGAGGCACGATAGGAAAAGGTTGGAACAATCATGGGAAGCAAGAAAACAACAAGTTTATTGCTTTCCGGATGACGACGGCGAAGGGCGAAGCGAGGGAGGAGGGGCTGCAGGGCAGCAAAGAGTGGCTTTCCAGGACGAGGTCATCGAGCAAGAAGGACAGTAATGGGAAGAATGTAGTGAAGAACAACAAAAGTTGTTGTCCTAGGGTGGCTGCAGTAGGCAAGGACTTCGTAGAGCGGTCGTGTGCGATGGGGCAATGATAAATCGCCATCTGAAAACCAAGATACAGCTGAAGTACCACTTGGAACTCTAAGATATAGGAAGTGAAGGAAAGAAGAGATGTCGACAACTGTCTCAATATAAAACACACCAAAAACTCCTGATCCAAACCTTATATATACAAACACACACACACACACACATATATATATATACATAAAAAACGAAAAAGGAACACGAAAAAGGAACAAAGGATAATAGCAAATAAAGAATAAGAATGGAAAACGGGGATATTTCCTTCCGTCTCTCACCATACTTTTTCCCACGTTGTTGTAACAACTACAATACAATGAGAAAACAATGT